TGAGAATTGTATCCAACTTAGGAACATCTCTTTACCGTTTTCGACTACTGCTTTTGGGAAGGGCGACTGAGTGTAAGTGCCGAAGAAGATGAAAACTAAAACCCTAGTTGATCTGCTGCTTTTGGGAAGGGCGACTGAGTGTAAGTGCCGGAGGAGATGAAAACTAAAACCCTTGTTGAGGAGAGTGTTTATGCTGAATGAATATTGGGATTTAGGTTTATGACATATTATTTACAGGTTGAATTGTTTCATTAGTTTTAAAAGGGTACTTTTCAATTTAGTTAGTTTAATAGGGCACTGGGCTTAATTTTCCCATATTTAAATCAGTTAGCCAACTGGGAAAACTGGAAGAATGGGTTCCGGTTTACGGTTTAGAGGCAAGTATACCGATTCTTTGCCTGTTCAAAAATAAATTTCGAGCAATATTGAACCGGATGTTGGATTTGTTCTCAATTTTTCAAGTTGAACTGTTCGGCCTGATTTGGTTTGATTTTGATAACATTGCTTTGGATAAATGTAAGGCTAGGTGACAATCTGCTAGAAGTGGGAGATTGCTCATGCTTGATCATTGCCGAACTATAGTGAGGAGAACAAAATGTTAAACTCCGGGCACTAAGGACGGGTAAAAACGACACACCCTTGGTAGATTGAGAGAATTTACCATACTAGTAGCGGATGAAGTCATCGGATTGTGTCGATCCTAGGCATAATCTCATTGTATAATCATTGGCCCCCATGCATCTGAGGTTGGGTACTAGGCATCGAAATGCATGATATCACATTCAGGATGTTAATGGTCGTGCATCATGATTTCCTATTGTTAACACCCGACCTCGGAGGTCGACTAAATCCGAGTTATTGTACGTAACAAATATGTGCTAACGAGAGATCTAGAAGGTAAGGTCAGCTCGGTTACAATTTGGCTTGTGCAAGATGTTTGTGTAGTTTATCGATGTTGAAGGAAATATGATGATTGAAGATCAATGACAGAATATATAAACTACCAATTAGTAAAAAACACCCGGAAAGGTCTTACATCACCTAATCCACCAATCACTAACTTTAGCTTCCTTCCCTAAGTAATTCATTAATTACTGGAGACCACTTATAGGTTTAATTCATGAAGACCAGACAAGTTGAGCTCGGCGGCCAATCTAATTACACCAATAGTACTTCTTCAGCTCAGGATTACAATTAACGAGACATGAAGTACATAGTACATGTATATCTTTTCCTATAAGAAGGGATATAACCTCAAAAGAAGAGGAAGAAGGTTCTACCATATATTTCTCATATTTCAAATATCACTTTAATTCTTTAAGTTGGCTTGAAATTTGTCTATTCATTTTTTAACGTCAACACCTGTCAAAGGTAAATCATATAAAATATAGAAAACAATAACACGAAGATTTATGTGAATAACTATAAAATTTGAGAAAAATCATATGTTATCAAAGGTAGATCTTTTGCTATATAAAAAATCTTATGCACACCCCAAAACGGATCGGACAATACTAATAAAAATCCCAAGCTTCATCCCAATTTAGTCCATAACTATCTCAGAAATTCTAACAAAGAAAATATGACGGGAGGCTCATATTTATAGAACATGATAAACTAATTTATTTTAAGTAGAAAATATTAAAACACTCATATAATACATTGAACAGCTCAAATCATATTCCATATAAAAAATCAACAATGAGAATTCAATTCATAATTTAGAAAAAGAGTTGTTTTTGGGGAAAACAAGTTTGGAAATATTAATTTTTTAAAAAAAAATAATGTGTGATTAAAAAATAGAAAAAAAATTTAATTTATGTCAAAATATTTTATCGTGAAAATTGAAAATAATTTTTTTTTAAAGAAAAAAAGAATTTTTGAAGAATGGTAAAGTTGTGTTTGATACACATTGTGGAGAAAAGAATGCATTTTTTCAAGTGATGTGATGGAAAACATGTGGTTAAAAAATAAGGAAACATTTTGGATTTGCATATAATATTATTTTATTGATGAATGTGTGATTGAAAATGAGTAGAGGAATAATGCATTTTCAAAATTGTAGATCAAACGGGGGCTAAATTAAGACAATTTCAATTGACAATATGAGGTCAAAAACAATATTAAGGGGATGTTTGGAAGGGATTTTCAAATTTTACAGTAAATCAATTCTCATTTTCAACCACACATTCTTCAATAAAATAATATTTTTCATTATATCAAAAAAAAATTCTTCTTTTTCAACCACACATTTCTCATCATATCACTATTCAAAAATCAATTATTTCCCCCAAAAATTCCTCCCAAACAAGCTCTCAAGTGGGTATAGTTCAGTGGTGCAAAGGATAACAGTGAGGTATTCTCAGTTGAGCTGGCAGCCGCAGTGTATGGGTTCGATTCCTAACTGTTACAAAGTATGAAATTACACTCTTTAGAAGCACCGTATGACAGCTCTTGTACTCTAATATATCGAGGCGCATCTCGCGAATTACTTCATTTACAACAAGAAGTAGGGTGTTGTAATTGCATGAATAAATCCTGTCAAAGATCTCGCAATCCGATCTTCTTCAAAAACCCCTCAAATATTGCTTGCATCATCATCATTGCTCTTCCCTGTGTGTCTCTCTCTCTCTCTGGATCTCTCTCCAATGACTGAGAGGACACTGCTGGGCAACAGTACCCCCCAACCCCAACCCCACTCTACCTCTTTCTTTTTCTACTTGCCATAACCCTTTAGTTGTAAGATTCAGGTAACAAAAGTACGTTGTTTTCTTACTCTCTTTGAGCTTCTTTGTCATCAAATTATCTTTGCTTTTTCTCAGTACAGTTAAAAAGTAGTCTTTTTTTCTCTGATAAATAGTGCTATGAGGACCTGCCATTCACAGAAGTTTGAACAGAGAGAATCCAGATTATTATGGCTGGGATGATGAAGCAGATAATGAGAGATATTGTGGGTGGGTGGGTGTGTAGGGGGGGTTAAGACTAGGGATGGGCCCTTTAAAGGCTGCAAGAGAAATGAGTGGAACGCTGGAACTGCACTGCAGTACCAAAGAGTAACGTATAATGCTTTTCTAACTCCTCTTTCTCTCTCTAAACTTATCTCTATCTTTATATCCTTCGTGTTAACTCTCGTGTGGCTCCTGTCTCTCTGAATCTATCTTTTATTAATAGGTCCGTTTCATTCATCCTCAAAAAATCTCTAGCTGCTCTGCTGCTGCACAATTTTCTGGCTTTTTAACCCATTCTTGCTTTCTTGCTTTTAATGGGGTGTTGCATAATGAATGTCCATTACGACCCTTGAGTTAAAAGCCCTCTGGTTCCTGTATCATTTGAAGAAGAGTCTTTAAAAAAAATCATGATTCGTGATGGGTTTTTGAGGCTCTGAATTCTCAGTTTCTTGGAATTTGGAATTCTTGAATAAAACCCCACTTTTTTTTTCTTCATTACATAAGTAGTACATCTCACTTTTTAGCATTGTGATTCTATTGGGTTCTTTTGTTCTAGCAGTTTAAAACTCGCTTATTTACTTCTATTTAAACTTCTTAAGGTTGCCAAACATGCTGCGGGAGGACAGTTAGGCTACTACTGGTTAGTGCATAATTGCTTATTTCATGTTAGTTTTTTTACTGTCTTTTTCTTCTTTATGACAAACAGGAAAAAAAGTAGCATCTTTAATGGTGTTTGTTGGGTTTTCATTTGTACACTGTTTAGGGAGAAAGGAAACGCAATTATTTTCTCCTGAAGTTATCACTTGTAGAAGGATCAAGCTTTTTGGCATGTCATTGGCAACCATCATCTGTTCTTGAAAGAATTGTACTTTTGAATAATACATTTTTTCATAAGGCTTCAAGTGACAGCTCCATTTGCCAGAGGTTTATACGTTCATTAGTAGCGTTTTCCCCCACAGAGATTAAAAAGGTTGGTTCTTTTGATCATTCTTTTATGGCATGTTTTGTAGGGAGGATTGCATTATGGAAAAGACGAAACTAAAACTTGTTTGTTGTATTGTTCACTCCGCCTATTCGCTGGAGTCTGATATGTGCATTTGTTCATTGGTAATATTTACCCCCACGATGCATAGAATGGTGGGTTGTTATCATTCCGATATGGCATGTATGAAAGGGATGATTTTATAGCACTCAGACGACAATTCGTTAACCATTACTACTTACTAAAAATGCATTTAGTTTTTATTAGTTATGTTTAATGTGATAGAGAGTTCTTTTTTGCAGAAAATGTCAATGTTTTATTTGTGCATCATTCTCATATCTATTAGGTCAGTGGAATCAATATATTTTAGCTAATTTTTGTCACTCCTTGAACTTTGAAAACTCGAGTAAAGAATTTCCATTAATCAAATTCAACGAAAAGTAGGAATGGTTTACTTGCCAAGAACACCATATTCATTGTGGAATATGGCTTCATTCACAACCCTTTCAGGGCTCTGAGGTTTTAAATTTGGTTGTACTCCTCAAATTGAGAGATTCTTGGGAAAAGGAACGCCATGAGGAGGAGGATTCTACCTGGAAATACAAGCTCCGTACTCCCCCCTCCTCTCTCACTCTATAGTTTGAAATAGGGGCCTGGTATGAATCAACATTGTATTCATTACTAAGCATCTATATGGTTCACCTATCCAACTAATTTCTGAGCTATAAAAGTAGGAAATTTGCTATGTTGTATGTTCCTCTATTTGTTTTCAAGATTCTACATGTTCAGTCGATATTCCTTGCAGTGTAATTTTCCATTTGCTGTATTTAACTTGTGTAGCGTGGCTCAGAACTTCCTTAAATTCTTTCAGATACATAGTTTCTTGATTTCAGTATTTTCTTTGGTTTTTCAGAAGGTGGAGTTTCCAATGTTAACACACATGTAGCCTGAGAACATTAACACATGTAGCCGGATAACATTCTGCCGTTTCAGACTGGAGCTCATTTTAGACAACCTTAATTTGTCTGGGTTACTCTTATTCAAGTGACAAGCAAAACCAAAATCAGGCCATGTCTGGATTTTCCATACCTTTAGTGATGCAAGGAGAAGCTATTAACAGTTATGCTTCTGATGCTGATAAATTTCAAAACATGCAATCTGGGAAGGACACCATTAGAGATTTCTCGACTGGCACGTCATATCCTGTCAATAGCAATCCAATTCTTGCTCAATTTATTGAGGGGATTCCCCTTCCCGCTTCATCCATTAATACCTTTCCGGCTGCAAGATATAGTACTATCGAGAATCCCAACAACTTTTCAACTTCTGGTCCTTTTGATTATCCCCTGGAATGCCCAAAAACCATTGTCCCAAGTGACTACTCTAATATGATGAATTCTTCGTGTGGAACCTTGAAGTATGTATGCAATGATTTACCTTTCGATACAAGCAGTAGATCCATAACTTCTCCTGAACTTTTAGGGATGGGTATACCCTGTCCAACGGGAAATTCCACTTCCAATGGGTGGATATTACCAGAACGTGGCAGCTTGACCTCTAATAGCCCAGGGTCGTCCCTATTTAGTAACGAGCTGTCCCTTAGTCTTGCTACGTCTCAACCTTCTGTTATACACCAGACTTCAGTTCAAGAACCATGTTTAGAGATGAGCTCGTCTGGTTTTACTAGCTATTGTTTGCATAAAAGGCACATCGGGTCAGAACAAACATCTTGCAACAGTAATAATGTTTCATTGAGCTTTAGTTCTTCTAAGCCAGTCGAAATTTCTCGTTTGTTATTGGGGTCAAGATATTTCCACGTGGTGCAAGAAATACTTGCTGAAATTGCTCGGTTTGCATTTGAAAGTTTTGATCAAACAAGCTATTCAACTACTTGGACTGAGGATAGGACAAATGGTTATTTTTCTTTACCTGGAAGAGGCTATTCAGCATTGAATCCTTCTGATTATCCCGATGGGGAACGTGGAATCAAGGATCAAGGAAATCACTTTTTTCAAGACAGGAAAGTTGAAACAAAGAAAAAGCATCTGCTGGCTTTGTTGCAAGTGGTATGTACAGTGTGCTAATAATTTTAAACTTTATTTAGAGATTGGTTTAACTGTATACGGAACAATGAAGTTGTATTTGACTCGTAATTATCTGGTGAAGCAGCTATGTGCATATTTTGCTAAGCTCTAAAAAGTAACTAGTTATTTTGAAAGTAAATCTAACGTTAGTGTCAATCTAATTAACTTGCTTATTATCAACTTTAATTCAGGTTGATGATCGCTTCAACCAATGCTTAGATGAGATCCATACAGTTGTATCTGCATTTCATGCTGTAACTGAGTTGGATCCTAATATACACGCTCGATTTGCTCTTCCAACAATCTCTTTCATGTATAAAAACCTACGGGAGAGAATTAGCTGCCACATTCTTGCGATAGGAGCTAATTTTAGTGAAGGAGGGGTAACAGAAGAAAAGTCATTCGAGGCATCCTTCATTGAAAAACAGTGGGCACTTCAGCAGCTAAGAAAGAGAGATCATCCATTATGGAGGCCCCAGCGAGGATTGCCCGAAAGATCTGTCTCCATCTTGAGGGCATGGATGTTTCAGAATTTTCTTCACCCGTGAGCTCTTATACTGCTTTCTTTTAAATGCTTGTGATAGAAAATTCAAAATAATAACGTCCTAAACGGAATTTTAGTTTTTCTCCTTTCTGCCAAGCATGTCACAAGTGTGTGAATGGCATGTGACTCTTACTTTTCCTCCCGCATTTTGTCTTTGATTCACATAATACTGTCCTTACTTTTCTTGTAAGCTTTATGCTTGTAAAACATCAGAGAATCAAGGATGTTTTCTCAATATCCACAAACTCGCCTTTCAATGATTTAACCTTGTTTCTATCCTCCTGTCATCCTTTTGGTTGCGACTAGTTTATGACATCCTCTTTTCCTGTGAAATTGTATTGACATTGACTTTGATCTCGAGGAAACCCATGTGTACTTTATACCAATAAAAAAAAGGCAGCTTATGGTGTTACATACAACTAGGTTAATATGAAAACTAATGTTCAGAATATGTCATATTCAGGTACCCCAAGGATTCAGAGAAGCATTTGCTTGCATTAAAAAGTGGATTGACAAGAAGCCAGGTATGCAGAGCCTCCTATAAAACAAGATATGCATTTTGTGTTTATAAAGATACGTTCCGTCTCTATCACTCTATCCGTGGTTAATGCACAATCTCACTTTGGATTCCCATAAACTATCGATTACACCATAGCATACTTGACACTTTTATTTTAGTCAAAATTTCTTGTTTGTTTTCAGTTTTTGCTGAGGAAAAAATCGTAAGCAGATTTAATACGATTGATGCATTAAGAATATCTTTTCTTATTCTTGCTGTTGTAATACTAGAACATGTACTTGCTTGAATGATTTTTCGATTCTTTGTGTATAAAATGTCTTACATTTCCTTGTAAGCTGTACCATTTTTGTCGTTATCTAATTTTTACGAGCACTGGCTATGATCAGGTATCCAATTGGTTTATAAATGCTCGTGTTCGTCTGTGGAAGCCGATGATAGAGGAAATGTACACGGAGATTAACAGGCGGACAGGTCGCCGGAACAATGAAGGAACTGACAGCAACTGGAGAAATCATATGTTCTATGAGAATACAAGGTTTAAAATGAATTAACAAAGAAAAAGATCATTCTGTAATACATGGTAGTATTTTAATTTGCAGAATCTAGTTAAGTTACAACTGTAAAAATCTATTCACAGTGTAACTGAATTTCAGCTATATAATTATGAATATGTTGTAATCTTTCAGAGCATGTTTGGCTAAGTAGGGTTGGAGAAATCTCTCAAACCAAATAGAGTGGTTCTTCTGAAGTTAAATATCTGAATAGGTATCTGAATCGAAAATCGACGGATTCGATTCGGTTCTCGATTCGAATCGAAGAATTGAATAAAAATTGAATTTTCCTAATTTTTTTGATTTTTTTGTCTTAAATAAGTTAAATTGTTAGGTTTTTAGTGTTAGCAATTATGTGGACAAATGACTAAATTGTAACGTAATGTTAAAGTTAAGGACCTAGGGTGCAATTTGCATAAATNATTTAAAGAGTATCAAAGAGTCGCACAAGTTATGTTCCAAATTCTCAGTCGTCACTTGCAATGTATTTTTTACATAGAAAACATTGGAATTTAGGTATGGCTATGTTTAGAAGAATTGTAGTCCTTTGAGTTAACTTTCCAACGAATTTTGAATCATCACATTCGGACATCTGTAGAGAAAATTATGATGAAAATATTGCTCAACCCTCGCTCAACATTCTCTAGAGGCTCGCTCGAGCGACCAATGTAGTAACTTTTCGCCCGAGTTTCGTCGACAGCTCGCTCGAGCGACCTACCTGTGCGGTCAACCCTAATTTGCGATTTTGGAGAGTTTTATACGACCCATACTATCAAACACCTCCAACTATAAATACAAAAGCTTTGGAAGACTTTTGTAGGGTTGCTACATTGTGCCTCTCTTGCATATCATATTCTCTACATCTTTGAGAGAGATTCAAGAAGTTATTCTTTAATTGATTCATCCATATTCATTCTTGAGATCCAGCAACCTAATTTTGGAAAATATCAAAGGTTCCATAATCCAGAACACCTGGCGCCCTTAATCTTTTAAGGAACTGACTCTTTTATTGAGATTTGGAAGATGTGGACTACAAGCACAGGTAGAGCATAAGAATTGGAGATTCTTGAAATTCCACTTGGACGAGACAATAGAAGAAGATCAGGAAGCTGGAAAGAGACGGCAGATCGGGAGGCTACAGGAGGTAGAACGGGAAGTCTAGCAGGTTAGCTAGATAGTGTTTACGGTAGCAGATCGTGAGACTAGAAAGTACAGCAGACCAAGAAGCTACAAGAGGTAGATCGGGAAGTCTAGCAGGTTAGCTAGATAGTGTCTACGGTAACAAAACGTGAGACTGAAAAGTACAACAGATCTTGGAGATTACAGGAATTACAACAGCGGGAATGAGTGAAGTTTGCTAGCTGGAAACATATTATAATCCATATTATCTATAGTGGAGGAACTAGTTTGGTCCCGGAGTTTTTTCCAGTTGGGTTTCTTCGTCATCATATTCCTGTTCTTTATTTACTACTTTCATATTTATTGTTTATTATACAAATTGCGGTATTCAAAGATATGATAATTTGAATTGTTTGACTAATCACCTAGACATGATTAACTTGTGACTTGTTGTATGTTAATTAAGTATTAATTCCGCAAGTACACCTAATCACCCCCTCTAGGTGTAGTAGGGTCGAATCTTGCATTTCTCACAAATTTTTAAATTTTTTTCTAAATAAATTTGCTAACTAATTAATTTAGTTCAAATCCAAAATATAATTTTATTATTTCTGATTTTCAGTCAAGTCTAACTTGATCAAATTGAACTAAGTTTTACCCAAATCTCTTATTCTACCGTAATGTTGTTATTGTCGTTTTATTATTGTGAACTTGATATTTTTTCTTTCTGTGATTTTAACGGTCAAATCTTTGAAAAACTCAACAAAAAGGCACAAAAGATGTCACGAGATTGGATTATGTCATTTTGTAAGAATTGAACATGTCATAATCGAATTAATGTAACGTTATTGTAAATATAAAAAAATTAATTATTATACAGAATTCGGGAACTGAATAGAACCGAACCCGAACGGTTCTATAATTAAATTTAGATCCGACAGTTCCATTTACTAAATATCCGAAAATTCAAATTCGATTTCATTATCTTTAGAATCGAACCGAACCATATACAGTTCTATAACTAAGCCTAATCCCCAAAATATGTTTGGATTAAAATCTTATTATTATCTTTAAGTAAAACAAAAAAAGTTACTTTTTTTGAACGTGACTTCTTATTTTCTGTCAAAATAATTAAATAAGTCAGTGAAAAATAGTTGTTTATTTTAAAGATTACTTTTGTAAGAAAAATAAACATGTTTGGATAACTTGCATTAATTTGTTGAGTAATGCAAAATTGTGGGAAAATAATGTTGTCTATATTTGTGACTTTCAATTAGTGCGCACTATGGAGATCGATTGAGAAATTGTTGCATATTTCTTTCTTACAACCAGACAAGTCATATCAATTTGATGAACAATATCCTCCATGAAATTTAAACTAAAATTGCAAAAATCTGTACTTTCGTGAATGTTTCGACAATGTGGAATGAAAATACTAAACAATAAATTAAAACTATGTCGATCTTTTTGACTACCTCATTTATATGTTTGAGTTACGAGAGAATAATTTTTTTTAAAAAAAAGTACCAAAATATGTCTTCTCACATAGAGATTGACTTTATTCTTTTTTTTTTTTTTTTTCCGCATGGCTTTGTATGTGGACAATTGTTGAAAAAGGACAACAATAAAATTTAAAGTCTTTATCTACTTTGATAATAAATTATATCACCTCATCTCTCTTTCTTACCCGTCCTCGTTAGTAGTCCAACTTCTTCTAAATAAAGGTATAATAGAGTTGCACCTTCTTTGCTTATTACATTGCCTTTCTCATATGAAGATCGATGGCTTCCTCGTCACTTGGCCCTTAGGCCTTCTATTTCAAAATGCAGTGTAAAGATCTATAAAGACTTGAGTAATTCAAGAAGAAATATTATGTTTATGTTTAGTAATCCAGAAGCCCATACAAGAAAAACTTGAGTGTAGATGAAGATCGAATTTTTATTACTTGAGAATCGACTGTGTGAATCGTTCTTCGCTATTTTGTTATGATTGTTAAAGATCAAATACAACTAAATCTTTAGCATAACTTTGTCCATTTTTCAATACACCCAGGTGTAGAGCGAGAGAGAAAGGAAAGGATACTCAATTTACCATAGTTTAATCCTCAGAAGGTTTGATCAAATCATATTCAAAATGACGAGAAATAGCACTATCGTAAGGAAGTTAGCTAATTGATAAACAATTGCCCTAAAAAAAATTAAGGGTAGCCATAGGCACTCCTAATTAATCTGTTACCTTATCAGATAACTGGAATCCATTGGAAAAATACAAAAGGGAACATCCTTTTAGTGGAAGGAAAACAAAGTGAGAACTCAACAAAACAGTTATGAAAAACTTCTCCCACCTTTTATTATTCTTGCCTGCTTTATTGTCATAAACAAAGATTATTCAAATAATTTACAGATCACACACTAATTCTCAACTAATACTTTGTTGATTACAAATGAGAAAAAATTGTGTCTTTTTCTTTCTTTTGTTATCTACAATTGTCCCGGAATGTTCTTGGCCTACGACGTTCTTCCAATAACATGTATATTCATCCTCTGCTACAAAGATCACAAAAACTTGCTTACCATCTTCACTTTGACTTATGCAGGAATTCTAGTTTTGATTGGTTTTAACTTCAACCCCATGCTTTCTGGTGAGAAAAGCTCGGGTGAGATGCTAGTTGGACTCAAGGGGCTTCTCGGGCTGACACTGTATTGAGATGGCTTGTAGAAACCATAACCCACGAGGAAATATTCCAATGGTATTAACATGGCGTCTGGTTGTTCTTCTGTGACCACTGACCCGCATGATTGAACCTGAATAACCGGAGATGGTACGTTTAAGTAATATTTGTTATCTGCCTGAACAAGAGAGTGATGAAATAGTTAAGCATACCTCGACTAAGGCACTGAGTCTTCTATCTAGCTTTGAAGTCATATGGAGAGCCTCAAAGTGGAAAGGAGAGTTTTCTCCAACAAATATCAATGATCGACACTGTAGTCTCCTCAAGCCCTCACTAATGTCCGGTCTCCTGTGAAACAACATATAATAACCATTAAATCTTTGTAGCTTGTTTTGTATGCAGGATTTGACAGCAACGTCCAAGATTAAGAAAGAAAAAGAAGCCAAAATCGAGAATGTTGTATTGTGTAGAGTTGTTTAATTCCGTGCACAAAACATGCCCTTGGAATGTAGGTGATAGTTAATCCAATGCAGCTTATGATCAATTATGCGTGTCACGTATTTGGAAAAAATATTTAACAGAATCTTTTTACATTTGTAGCAACAACAAATTAGACTATCAAACGATCAACATGTTCGTCTTAAAAATGCCTGCAAAGTCTTGCCATTTATAGCCTCTGTTTGGTGGCCTTTAATTTAATTTACTTTACTTCAATTTATTTCTCACTCATTTTCAACAATAGATTCACACAATAAAATATTTTACACGAAACTCAAAACTTTTCCATACTTTTTAACCACACATTCTCCAAAAAATACTATTCAAAAATAGTTTTTTCAAATTAAAGGCCACCAAACAGGGGCAAAATAAAAACATCTGGAGAAAGAATATACCTATTAATCGCTTCAACAAACCGCAGCACATTTGGGCTTTGTCTTTCTCCCAACAACTGCAATCAAAACAATTTTAGTGAAATTCAGATTCCAACCCAACTCTTGCCGTCCATCTAGCATCCAAAAATAAAGAAAATAACAAAAGAAGGCACCGACTCTTCTGCACGCTTGAACAACATCCGAATCTGGTACATCTGTGCTGCCACGAACTTCCTGTTGTATCATTGGAAATGTGATGAGAACATTTACTATATACAACGATTTGAATGAAAATACGAAATGCAGGCCAAAAGAACACCTTGCTAAAGTATCGCATCAGCAAAAGCTCCTTCACCAAACCGCACATGCCACAAATATACAGTAAATTTGACATCACCTGCAAACCGCAACACAGGAAAAAAAATTATTTCACCTTCTCCTCCCCCAGAGATGTACAACCAATTAATTACCAAGTCTACACACGCACCAAAGAGAAGGTGGGGGAATGAGTTGAGAAAATTAACCTTATTGCATAACCATTCTGTCCAAGACGGTGCTTTGCATAGAGGGGAAACAAGAATCAAACCCATAACACGTCGAGTATATTTTATCTGTGTTGAAGTAGAATATAACATCAGCAAAAACTGATGTATGAAATCATGATACAATCATTCCGCAGGTGGAACTAGGGAAACTTACAGCAAACAGGGTAAGAATATAAGCTCCGGCTGTTACCCCCATGCACATCACGGCACCAAGTCTAAAAGGAAAACAGAGAAAAATATCAGCATATTTTTGGCCCTCCAGGGAAAAAATTGTCAAAAAATCATTGAATGTCAGAGAATATGAAGGCAAAAAATCATCTGAAGAAATAAAGGGTTAATAACTAAAATTCAAGGAGGGTTTAAGAAGTAATAACACTGAAATTACCCAAAATAGTCGAGAATCTCAGCAATCTGGTCTGTTAAATCATCAACGGATAAAACAGGTTCATCTGGGCTGATTACAGCAGCTTCTAACTGCAATACTCTTAAATAAGTTTCAGTTATGAAATGGTGTGACTAGAGGCATTCCGCAAAAAATAGCCCATGTCAAAGTACTTTTTTTCCCGCATAAACAACATCAGTAATCAAGTAATCGGTGTACGGACCTCGTGTCCGGGAGGGCTGAGATGGTAAATACAGAAGTTGTGGATAAGCAGAGAAAATGCTTCTGGACATAAAAACAGTCCTTGGAAACAAGACATATCTGTTCAGTGATGCAGACAAATAAGGATTTAGATGTCAACACCATTCCTAAAAAAGTCAATTTTCCTTCAAATAAATGAAATTGAAAAAAAAGTGCATGGGAGGCAGGGAAGCAAAAAGCACAACATGCATAAGAAGTGTAACTAGAAAATTTTTGTTGAAACATCAACATAATAATTAAGTAATACTTCACTATCCTCAGTCTCAAGCATATGGCTTGTCTTTTTGAGCTTGAAAATATTACAATTTTTCACAACAACAATTACTCTAAAACATTCAAACCAAAAATTAACAAAATAACGAAAAAATCTGCTAGAACAACTTCCATTCCCCTAAATGTTTGCCAATATATTGAGCTCAGTTAAAAAAATTGTTACGTCAAGATAGGTAATGCAGTCTAGAGATGTAATATGATTAGTCAAAGTTCAACACAACACTTCATGACAAATTAAGTTTGGCTACTTACAATTTAAAGCTAGATCAGGATAAGTGATTAAAGCTGGCTTATCCAGGTCTCCAAAAACAGTAACAGAGACATAACCGTGGCTTGTCTTAACAATATGCTCCTGTAAACCAATCGGCAAAACCATAATTAGCCAAAATCCTGTACAAAATATGACAAAACAACAAACAAAACCCAATCTTCCACTAGCTATTTCATTTTGATACAAAATTTCTGGTTCCTTAAGCTTTAAAAGGGAATAATTTTTCATGAAGGCCAAAGCTAAGTATCTCTAGTTTCCTAACAGAATTTCCCATCTGCAGTGGTCCCTTGTGAAGAATTCCAGCTAGTTCGTCATTACACTCTTGGAGAGGATTAAAAGGGCAACTTTTTTTTACTTCTTTGCATTCACTAAGAATCAGAGCACGTGTGAATAAGCAGAACTGAAGAAGAAGAAAGAATCTACTTAGGCCCTGTTTGATGGCCTTTTAAAACTCAAAAACAAAGTTTTGAATAGTAATTTTTTTAAGAAACGTGTAATTATAAAGTGAAGTTTGGGTTTACGTGTAGAATGTTTTATGGTGTGATTGTGTAGTTGAAAATAAGTATATAAAAAATGAGTTTTTGGATAGTAGATTACTTATTCCATATATTCAACTTTTTCTAATTTTTATCCATACATTCTCCATCAATATACCGTTCTAAAATATATTCCACACAAAAAATGGAGCTCAAACAGGTCTTATAATTCTTCATAACTTCAATAATCCGGATAAGTTGCAAATCAATTATAATCTAGAAAATTTTGCAAGTTAAACCTTAATTGCTCAAAAATTGAATAATTTTTAACTGTCAAAGACTTTACACAGACATATTCATAATTTTCCAAAATCATCCACAATCACCCTCCGGCCATCACACACTTGAAGACCCACATATTGCAGCCGACACTCGAACCAAAGGACGCGCAAGAGCCAAGTCGGTGATATATCTAACTATTTATCATATTTATATATTGAGATAAAGACTCGCATTAAGGAAGTGTAACAAATTTAGGAGGAAAATATCATTTATGTATAATCCAACTATGATCGCAGCTAAATCTATGCTCAAATGCAATCAAAATTTTGGTATAATGGACTATTTTTCGTGGAACTCGAAAAGAAAAGAATAAATTCATAACTTCTACATTGAATTGAAGCTCATAAAAAATTAATTTTTCACCTTGTTTATCAGCATAAATTCAAAACTTATACATTAAATTGAAGTTCATAAAATAACTTTGCACACAAATATAACCACATGCATAGTAGTGCATATATATGTGTGTATAATGTGAGTTGGTTTGACCTTTCCGGGAAGAGAAATGAACTCCACATCGACGGAAACAGATTCGCTGGAGTCCCCCATTGGTCGGTACCTCTATCTCTTCACTTTCTCTCACTAAAACTCTCCCTCTCAAATTCGAGACGCATTGGATTTGGCATCTATAGCTTATATACCAATCCTTCTCCTCTCTCTCTCTGCATATTGGCCAATATATAAAATATTCTCTGTACGTATCCAATGTTTAGTAGATTGAGCTGACTCACAACGTTCACTGAGTCACCGACGCTTTCCTAACCCGAGACACGATTGAAGTTTAACTACAGTTAGAGGCCGACAGAATTTCTTTCAAAAGACTCAAATGCCCTTGCGACTTCTTGCCATCTAGTCCTGTCACTCCTTTTCGTCTCTTTTTTTTGTTCTTTTGTTCTTTTTTTTTTGAAAAACACTTTTTGACCTTTGCTTATTGTCTTTGTTAATAGTGTAGGAATCGAATCATAATCCATGCAAAATACATTTAGCTCCGATCAATAAGGACTAAAATTAAGATTTTAATATAAGTTAAAATTAACAATTAATTTTAATCACTTATTTATCGGGGTTCACAACTTTTTAACCACACATTCCATCAACTTTTATTAAAATCTGCTAAAAAAATTATTTTAATCCCCACCAAACAGGAGCTTAAATTTTTTTAATTTTATAACTGTAGATAAATAAATATTACAATCTTGAAATTCGTAAGTATAAGAATATTCGTTCAATGCATTAAGTACTAGCTATTTCTATTAAATCATAATCGAGTAAAACATTTTAAAGACGTGTTTGGTGATGATTAATAATTTAATTATGCTTTGTTGGAAAAAAAAAAATTTAACATTTGAAAGTGCATGGTTTGTATGACGAGGAAATCAATTTAGATACGATAATAAAAATTATTCTATTGGTCCTCAACTCTTATCCTTGGTAGCAAATTAGTTATCGATCTTTAAAAAGAAACAAGCTGATTCAAGAATCTTTCATTATAGTTGCACAATCCATTCTTTACCATGGAAACCATTTATATCTTCCCAAAATTATCTTATGGCCCTGACAAAAACATGTTTCATTTTTAATTTCAAGGCACTAGGTCGTGTTGGGAAGCATAATCTAGCATCATAAAATTTGGCATGTGATGACCGCGTGATGATTTAATTGGGATTTTGTTTGTTCCTGTAATCAAGGATTTGTTGTGTAATTTTAATAAAATTTTGGGACCAATTCATTATGAGACAATGCATTGGAGACCAGTGCTGCAAATTTCCCTAAAAAATGTTTAAATTTTACTTTCCGTCTTTTCTAAGTTGATTTATCGAATCTTAGACGAGGTGAATTAACCCCCGTTTGAGTCACATTATTTTTTTTCATTATCATTCTTGTACTAATTTTCAAACACACATTTTTCAGTAAAATAATATGTTCCATCACATCAATAACTTCTAAAACTTTTTCAACCACATATTTCCCATCACATCAACAAAAAAATGCATTATTGACCCTAAAATGTGCACCAAACAGTCTCTTAAAAATATTTAGTGCGGTAACCTTTAACTATAGATAGTGTATTGTTTACCTACATTTACATTCTTAATTTATATTTTTTAAGAGTAGTGCTTTTTTTTTTTTCAGTACGTGCCTTTTTCAAGAGCAACGCTCTCAAGACATGCTCTTTTCAAGAGCAACACTCTCAAGGCGTCATTCGATCGTATCTTAGTTGACACGAGGGGGAAAATAATTTAACTTAAAGAGCTAAAGCAATCCTCGTTTTATTTTCTATCTTCCGTTAATTATGTTTTGTATTACTTATATTGCAATTAATCTATGAATACGGATTAGCCCATGTTTGATGGTCATTGTTTTGGGAAAATAGAGTTTTGAATAATGATTTTTTGGATAATGTGTAATCAAAGAGTTTTAAATTTACGTGTAAAATATTTTATTGTGTAAATGTACAGTTAAAAATGAGTATAAGAATTAAAGATATTTGTTTTAAAGAGAATCAAACAGAGACTTGATCTCATTTGTTGATTCAATGCAATATCGAGAATTAATTAATCAAAATTTATCATTTTTTGTTGATCATTAGATAAGTTGATTCAACTTAAACAGTGATACAATGTCAAAAGAATTAATACAACTCTAGTTTCAATTCATTTCCAAACACTAAGAGCTTGTTTGGGAAGGATTAAAATTGAAAAACTAACCATTATTGTTGACTTTTATTAGATGGGTGAGACCCAATAACGGCTATATTTTCAATTTTAATTGGATTTTAATCACTCTCAAACATGTTCTTAGCCCTTGTTTGGCCCGAATTAAAATCTGATTTTAATCCAAATCAAAGTCAAACATTCAATATTAACCACATATTTCATG